TTGTAAAGCTTTCAGATTTTGATGAATGTAAGTTGATCCTGAAGGTTTCAGTATCTTTTCCCAATAACAATTCTTTAGATTCTCAGATGATACTTTTGCCAATAGTAATATATAGATTATATGCAAACGAACATACTGGAATAAAACAGAGTGGTTATGAAAAATATAGGCACAAGTACAGGTATAATCTATTTATTACCACAAGACAGGGTTTGATCCCTAGCAGCTCTTTACACTTCCAATCAGACTACAATTGCAAAGAGTGCATAAAATGATCTGCTAAATCATGACCTCAGAGAACATCAATATTTCAAAAAGTAATAAGTAATGGACGCTAATGGGCAACAATTTATTAATTAACCAGAAGAGAAAGAAAACCTTTTTATGAGAACTGGCTAGGAAAATGCCAGTTCTGATGGATAGAGAGAATAATTTGTCAGCAAATATTTAGAACTGTTATAAAGGGCTTGAGATATTAAACACAGCTTTCCTACAGCCAGGAGATGTCTGACTCAAAGACAAAACGATTTCAATTTCTTGCCTCAGTAAATTCTGCAGTCTAGAAATTTCTCAGTTCTACCTTAAATATTCTCAAAACTTCAGAGAAAGAAGAAGAATGTGGAGAGCTGTTAACATCATTTTTCTCTTCTGTTGGATATCAGGTAAATACTTTTTTCTTCTTCTCCCACCCAAATATATTCCTATTGTACACAAGCAGTGAAGAATAGCAATGATGGCATTAAGTGGCTTCCAAAATGATTATACACAACAAAACTAAAGAAAAACAAGTAGAGTGAGGAACTTATTCAGTTAATTTCTGCAGGGTAAATATTCCACCCTTGATGTGAGTGTGTGTGTGTGTGTGTGTGTATTTGAAATATATATATTTCATAAAGGAGATAACAAAAATGAGATTTGAATGTTTGAGAAAGCGAAATGTAAACAGCAAGAATGCTTCCTTCTAGATGTGTGCTCCTTGGTAGCTGTCTTCTTGACTCTTCTTTAACAATGATGTGGATATTGTTTATGTTATTGATTTTATTATAAGATTTCATCAAAGTTGAGAAATATACCCCTACATAGATAGAAGGGGTGAATGAGATATAAAGTTGGTAAAATGACGGTCCAGATATTTGGGGGCAATATTCTGACTCTGTAAACTGCATAGAGAGGCTATTGCTACAAAACATTTAAAGGTAGAGAATGCTGGAATGTTTTATCCACTCATAAAGGATAGTGTTGTGTGATTCCAGTTAAAACAAAAAAAAACCAAATAACATGTTTGTTGATTTCCATATTGTTTGTTGATTTCCATATTGTACTTCCCAGATTCTAGCATGAGACAGATTTGTAAATATCATGATGTAGTCGAGTACCTGAACATCTCCTCCAAGAAGGATCTCCTTTTATATTCTATACCAAAGAAGAATTGGGAAGAGAATTTGGAAGTTGGCCTTGAATTCACTCTCATCTCCATTCTTTCAGTGGTAAGAGAGAATAATTGTCACGTTTGTTAGTCAGAAGCAAAAGTCAGTAGACCATCTACCGTGTTTCCCCCCAAATAAGACCCACCTTGAAAATAAGCCCTAATCTGATTTTTTGGGGGGTGGGCCGAACATTAAACCCTTCCTCAAAAATAAGCCAGTGGATGGGCGTGGCCAGTGCAAGAGGTGGTGTATACACACAGGGCTGGTGTTGTCTGGCCGCAGCTGCAGCCTGCCCACCCCTTGGCACAGCACAAGTACCGTTAATACAGGAAAGAGAGAGCGAAATCCTCTTGATTCTTGTGCTTTTCCATGTCATTTCACTTTTCAGTCAGTGTAAACGTGTGTGTGTATGTGCATGTGGTGGGGAGCAGAGCTCTTCCTGAGGGAGAAGAGTGCAATTTGAAGGATATTAGCAAATATACACACAACCAGTGAAAGATACGGTGATCACTGTGTATTTTCAAGGCAGAGAGAAGACTCAGGAAGAGTTCTGCTCCCTAACACGCGCACACACACACACGCACACACACATATTTACACTTTTGTGAAAAGTAAATAGACACCCCCACCCCCACCCCCCTAGGGCAGCCACATCCCTTCACAGACCTGCTTTCCACCTCCATTCTCCGATGCCACATGCAGGGCAAAAAAAGAAATCTCTGGGACTACAGTAAAAAAATTAGTTCAGACCTTCCAATGTCTTCCCCCACACACACACAAAAAAAGATCTCGTGAAGTTGGAAGGTTAGCGAAGAACGGAGCTTGTGTTTGTGTGTGTGAGTGTGTTTGGGGGGGGGAGGGAGGGAGGGAGGAGGAGAGAGAGAGAGATCCAACCTCAGAGAGTTATCCAGGGCAGGTAGCAACGTGTGCTCTCTCGCTCCCCCACCTCTCTCTCTCTCTCACACACACACACACACACACGTCCATCACTCTCTCCACCCCATCCCTTTACTAACTTGCTTTCCATGTCCATGCATGCAGGGCAAGAAAAGAAGTCTGTGGGTGGGAGTACCGTAAAAAAAAAAAAAAGTTCAGACCTTCCAACTTCTCACACACACACCCCAAAAAGACCTCACAAAGTTGGAAGGTCTTTTTTTTTTTTTTTTACTGTACGCCCACCCACAGACTTCTTTTCTTACACGCACAGCAGAGAACAGAGCTGGAAAGCAGATTAGTGAAGGGATGTGGCTGCCTTATGGGGATGAGGGACTTCTGTGTGTGTGTGTGAGAGAGAGAGAGAGAGAGAGAAGGAGATGAGGGGGAGCACATCGCTGCCAGATCTCAGTGGTTGGATCAGATTTGCTCTCTTGCTCTTGCTCTTGCTCTCGCTCTGCAGAGGCAGTGGTGGCTTTTCAATGTCTAGCAGGTGGGATGCTTCTCACCCACCCTGCCTGCTGGCCCAGCTTCTCGGCTGTGGAGGGCCCCATGTTAACCGCCAAGCAGCTGTCCCTATTGCTGCTGGCCTCACCGAGGCTGTTCACCCTCCTGGCAGCCCTTTTCTCAGCCACCTTGCTGGGCTACCAGCCTGCCAGGGCCCCTTTGCAAGCAGCCACCAGTGGAGCTGTGCTACCTATGTCACCTCGCTCACTGCCACCTTTGGGCTGCTGAGCGCTGGCCTGCACTCCTACTCGGTGCTGCAGGCTTACAGCTACGCTACCAACTGCGCTGAGCTCGGCACTCTTCGGGCCATGGCAAGCACTGCAGCTCTCTGGCTAACTCTGTGGAGGTAGCTCTAGCAGAAGGTAGTGGAGGCTGTGGGGAGCAGCTGGGCTTGCCGGTGGGCTGGATGGGTGGAAGGCGAGGCGGCTACAGAGCCGCTGCTCATCAGGCAGACACTGAAGGTGACTAGGGGCAGTCCCATGCTTGCCTCACACAGCTGGCAAGAGAGCTACAGAGCCTACCAGGGCCCAAGAGTGCCTGGCTCAGTGTAGCTGTATGCCCGATGCCTGCAGATTAAGGCTGCAAAAGCGGCCATGCTTCTTGGGGCCATGCTTCTTGGGCCGATGGCAGTACATGCCCACAGATCAGCTGTTCCACAGAGGCATGCGGGGGCTCCTGCTGCTTTTGCAGTCTCAATCGGCTACAAAAGCGGCTGAACCAGAGGTGATATTCAGCCAGCTCTGACAGGTTCTAGAGAACCAGTAGTGGAAATTTTGAGTAGTTCGGAGAACCAGTAAAATACCACCTCTGACTGACCCCGCCCCCATCTATTCTCTGCCTCCCGAGTCCCAGCTGATTGGCTGGGTCTTCTTTTGTTGCCCTGCACAGGAAAATGGAGCTGGAAAGCAGGTTACCTGGGTGGGGCGGGCATGGGATTTTGTAGTATTCTTTCCTGCCATGCCCACCGAGCCACACCCACCAAACCAAGCCAAGCCCGCCAAGCCCACAGAACCTGTAGTAACAAATTTTGAATCGCACCACTGGGCTGAAATTCTTGGAGCTGGTGACAGAAGCATACCTGCAGATCAGCTGTTTTGCAGACCAAGCTGCTGGTAAGGCCATTAGGCAAAGAGATTTGATGCGTGAGATGCAGCTCTCCCGCCCGCCTCCCGGTAATGGGGAGAAAAAAAATAAGACCTCCCAAAAAATAAGACTTGGTGCCTTTTTTGGTGCCCCCCAAAATATAAGATCTCCAATCTACAACACGGTCCTTTCAAAGTTCCAAGAAGGTTCTGCACCAATTTGCACCACTCAGGTGACCCTGATGACACAGATAAACCTCCAGGTGACCTTAATGATCTGCTAAAAGGATGCAAATGACCAGATGTCTGGAAGAAGTATAAATCCTTCCATTCCCCATTGGTCAGAGCTGAAGAAGATTCTTGGATGAGAAGCAAAATGTCTTTAAAATGAAGAAAAACTAGAAAGTCCAGTTGCCCCTTAGGAGAGAGAAAAAAAAGCACCTTTAGGTCAGTAGTTGTGTGTGATTATATGTATAAGTGTATGTAAATCATTTTTTCCACTCCATTCCCTTGCACAAATGAACTTGATTTGTGCACACAGACATACATAATCACACACTACTGACAGATCCATCAGGGCACCCCATAAGAAGTCTTGAAGGCATTCCCTGAGGTCAGAGAAATTCACTTACTGAGAAAAGATTTCCATTGGTGCAATTTGGCCTATGGCTGACTAGACCAGGGTCTCCAACCTTGGCAACTTTAAGCCTGTAGGATTTCAACAACTCCCAGAATCCCACAGCCAGCTTTTCTGGGAGTTAAAGTCCTCCAGGCTTAAAGTTGCCAAGGTTGGAGACCTCTGGACTAGACTGGATTATGACTGATTTCTGAAGTCTGGGAGAAAGGCTGTTCATGTTTTTCTTTTTTTTCTTTTTCTCCTTTGCAGGAGGAAAAATTACAAGTGGCCAAATTCTACTTCTGGCTAAATGTGGTAAGGGTACTCGTTTTGCTCTTCTACAAAAAAGTATTTGTGTTTTCTAGAATAGATCAGTGTTTTTTTTTAAAGATAATGTAGCACTTTTTGAATTATTCCTTTGTTCTTTACTAGATTTGGAAAAATGAATTTGTCAGCTGGGACCCTTTGGACTTTTGTAACATTACCGATATCAGTCTTCCTGTGAACCTTTTCTGGACTCCTCACATTTTCATAGATGAACAGTATCTTTTCTATTTTTCTTACCTTTTAAATATGTTTTAAAACTTCATTATTAGAGAAAAAAAATGCACTAATACAGTATTACAGTATTAACAATATTGACTGCTACATCTATACACATTGACTCAAAGTTTTGATTCATTCCCACATCTATATATTAGGAATACCATAAAGAAAAGAATGCAATTGTGGTACCAATTGCCAATATTTCAGAAGGATCCAGTAACTTTTGCACCCAATTGATAAAATTTAACATTCTTTAAAACAAGGTTTATTACATAGAGATTATGTATAGATTATTGCAAAACAGCTGTAGAAAACAGATTAATTGTGATTCTTGTTTTTACTAGTTTATGGGGCAAGAATATTGAACAGAAGTAAGTTCTATTTTGATTAATGGGTCTGACACCAATTCAGTATTATGGGTATTATAATATTACATTATAGTCTTAATTGTGATCAAAACCAAACCATTTCTAGCATCAGCCTGGGAAAACTGAAATTCTGTCTTTGTGTCATTTGGATTTTATGGCTGGTTAGTTGGTTGTTATACCAATTTTTTTATACAATAATTTTTTATACAATAATTTGATTTTTATGCCATTAAAAGATATTTCCTTACATATCTTTTGCACATATTTGACAGCAATATTGTCTAATATGTGCAAAACACAAACTTTTATTAATTACAATATTTTCCTTTCAGGGCAGATGAAGATAAGCACACAGTTAGCCATTTTATTTACCTATCCTTTGATGGCTACATTGTTTTATTTCAAGCACATCAACTCACTTCCGCCTGCAACCTGGATGTCCACACATTTCCTTTTGATGAGCAAAAGTGCAACATAACTATGGTGCCATCATTATATAGAGGTATCTTAGTGGACCACTGTGCAATTATGCCTTATCATGAATTTTGCTTGCCCTTCCTTTCTATACAGGCTTCTGAAGCTATACTCATGCACACAATCTCCATATCTGTGGCTTCTGCACTTCTTCCTGCCATTGCTGCAGTCTGTAATGCATCTACTTTATATTTTCTTCTTTTGTTAACAATACAGAACTCACATTTTTGCTCTTTCTCCACATCATTGAGCCTCAGTGGTGCAGTAGTTAGAGTGCAGTAATGCAGGCTACTTCTGCTGACTGTCGGCTGCCTGCAATTTGGCAATTCAAATCCCACCAGGCTCAAGGTTGACTCAGCCTTCCACCCTTCCGAGGTGGGTAAAATGAGGACCCAGATTGTTGGGGGCAATATGCTGACTCTATAAACCATTTAGAGAGGGCTGCAAAACACTGTAAAGCAGTATATAAGTCTAAGAGCTATTGCTATCATCTATTAGAAGACGGGAAGTGTGCTTTCTCTAGCACAGTTCCTGTCCTTTCTATCAGCTGCTTCTTATTACCCCACCCACCCAGATTCTGATGGTTTTTCTAAGGTTTTGGGTCAGGTGGTGGATGAGCCCATTTGTAAGGGTTTGGGGTACTGAGTGGTGTTGTTCCAGGGCTGACAGATGTAGGTTAACTTTAATTTATGTTTTGTTTTATTTTTCTTGATTTTATACTTGTTTTGATCTTATATTAGCCCTCCAACCATTCAGTTGAAATTTGTGAGTTGGGCTGCCCTAAATATATATGTACAAATACATGTTTGTTGCCAAGCACCTGAATTTTGATCGTGTGACTGTGAGGTTGCTGCAATGGTAGCGTGAGGGACCAGCTGTAAGTCACTTTTTTCAGTGCCCTTATAACTTTGAATAGTTGTTAAATGAATGGTTATAAGTCAAGGATTAGCTGGAAGGGGATGAACCTTCTATATATTCAGTATAGGACTGCCTTTCTTCAGACTGTCCTGAATTGGCAGTCCTCTGGATCATGGGACTTATATTCTTTCTAGAAAATGAAGTAAAGTTGAAAAACACTAAAACTTTCAAAAACACAAACCAAGACAGTCGCAAACGTTATTTAGCCGATGGAGAATGGAAGTTTCAGAAAGTGGAGATCATGGAGGTGACCGAAATTGAAGCTGACGGAAAATACAGTACAGTCATCTATCAGGTATAGTTATGAATGCATTTACTATACATTTTCTTGTCAGATGATGTGATGATATATGGGAGCAAGCTTGGGAGATGGGAAAGAGATGGCCAAGGGGATGGGGGAAGGGCTTGAGCCTGCCTATTTATTTGAACATCTCTGACGACATAAATGGCATATAAATTTATTTTTAATAAATTCTAATACTTCTAATACTCCTTCTGCTTCCTATTTCCACCAAACAACAACTTTGTTGGGCCTACGAGTTCTAGTCCCACTTTAGGCAAGAATGAATAACCTCAGGCCATGAGCTGGGCCCGAGAGAACTATCCAGCTGGCTTTCTTGCCTAAAGCGGGGCTAGAACTCATAGTCTCCTGCTTTCTAACCTGGTACTAGGCCAAACCACTAGGCCAAACTGGCTGCGTGTATCTACAGTACCTACTTTTCCCACGTTGGAATAATATATTAAATTCTACAATCCATCGCACTGTGTTTGCAAGTTCTAGCAGCTTCCTTTTCTGAAATCCATTGTTCACTGGCTGACTTTGGTTCATTCTCTCTTTCTCTGCCCAGCCAATGTCACAGGAGTACTAATTAGGTTTCTGAGAAACATAGAAAACTGACAGCAGAAAAAGACCTAGTGGTTCATCAAATCTGCCCCTTGAGTTTGTTTTTGTTTTCTTTTTAATGTATGGATTTATTTTTTATTTTTCATTATTATTGTACATTTATTTTTTTAATGATTATTTATTTTTATTTTTTGTCGTATGATGAGCATGTGTTTATTCCAAACTTATTTAAGCTCACTTAATGATGATTGACCCCTTACTTCCACTGGAAGTTCGTTTCAAGTTCCACTGCTCTTTCTGTGAAGTAATACTTTCTAAGAAAGTATTGATCTTTGTGGTCTTTTTAAGTAGTCCTATTCATTGTCTTTAGTTGTATATAAAACAGTAAAGGAGGTATATTAAATATATAAAGAAACAAAAAAATATGCACAGAAAAATAGGATGATGAAGCATTTTTTATACTGCCTCGAGTTCTTAATTTAAAGACAGGATCTGAAACCAAGAACTAAAGACAACAAATACAGTGCTGTCTTTCTATTCAGTCTTCCTCTAACTGCATTTATGAGGTTACTGCTTCATTTTCACAGCAGATACTACATTGCACTCTTCTTCACTGTGCTTTGGAAAAGATAATCCCTATGTCGCTTCATGTACAAAAAAAGCCTTATTGCAGACCATAACGGATATTTTGCCGCAAATTGGAGAGGCAGAACCAAACCATTAGATTCTGCCTAAGTTCTGAAAATATTTTGTTTTCAATAAAACCATAATTCCCTCTTTTATCCTGTTTTCATCTTGCTGAGCCTCCAAAGCTTTCTTTCCCCTAATGGATCTTTATAGTCTAAAATCTTAAAGATCCTTTTTTTCTCTCTATCAACAAGATAAAATGCTTGCTGGATCTTTGCCTGACAAACTGTTCAAAGAGAAAAAGCTCACAATTTTTTCAATCAGAAATTTGAGCAAGAAATGGCCCTAGCATTAGTGATCAATTTCAGAATCTCTCTAACTGCAGTTTGCATTAATTGAGGTCCCTGTTGTTGGCATTTCCCAGAGTATGAGAATATTAAATATTTCTGGAAAGGGAAAGATTGTGATCTCATCCATTTTTAAGTTGCTAAAAACAAGATTAACATTAGACTTTCTCATGTACCGTAACTTACTTATCCATGGACTGCCCAATGGCTAACTGAAAAAAGTGGTCTTCTATTATTTTCCCCAACTGAAACCGCACCTACCATGAAAGTTGAATGGCTGTTTGCCTGAGGTTAATCACTCTCCTATTGTTTTTGTTTAAGCTGCATTTGGGTACAGTTTGTGTTGGAATCAGAATGCAAATCATAGAAAAAGGCTGATTTCCTTCTCCCATCCAGTCCCTGAGCCATTTTTATCTTCAACAATTCTTCTTCTAAAATAAAACTTCAGAACAGTGGCAAGACTGATTCTGAGTAACAGCCACTCCAGCTGATCTCTTTTACATCTGGAATATTATTTGTTATGATTTAACTCCACTTCACTATCTAGGTTTATTCAGCAGTGGAATAATTGCTGAGGTATACCACTTCACTGGTTGAGGGTTGAAGCTAAGACACTGTCAAAAAACCAAAATCATGGGCCCAGAAGCATCTGTGATGAACGAAGGAGGAGATAGCAGCAAATAAAGTCACAATGACGACTCTGGCATGTAATCAAAAAACGTTGAGGTGCATAACAGGTTTCTCTTGTACAGTTACAGCTGTCGTCTTGACCTTTTTAATTTCTTTCTTGACATCCTTGTTTGAACCTAGACTGGTTTAGACCAGGCAAATCCAACTCACGCCCCACGGGCCATGCAGCTTTGGACAACTAGTAATATGGCCTCAGAAGATCATACACATTTTTACAGTCTGTTATTTATACACATTGACTATGTTAGATGTTTTACTGTATATGCAGCCCAAAACAATTCTTCTTTACTCAATGTGGTCCAGGCAAGCTAAATGTTTGGACAACCATGATGTAGACAATCAGCTTAAGCCTAGCCTTGGAATGATTTAGCAGTTTGTATAACTTAAATTTGTGCTAATCCTGGAAATGTTGTGTTACTTTACTACCTTTCTTTTTTTACAGATTTCTATGAAGAGGAGATCCATTCTTTATGAATTAATGGTGATTCTGCCAATGTTTATTCTCTTCTTGCTGGATATGGCTATTTCTTATGCTTTTGCCTCTCCTGCAGAAAAAATTGCCTACAAAGTGACCATGATCTTGCAGGTCTCATTTTTGTCTGTGATGCTTATTGACAAGTTACCACCCACATCAGATTATCCACCAGTAATAGGTAATTATTTAATCATGTGGAATATAATGTAGTAGACTCCTTAGGGCTATTCACTCATTATTGTTAGCATGTTGTGTGGATCATTCACATATCATGTGTCTTGGATACTGTATTAAAAGTTTATAACTTAATGAGGGATGGCCACATGGAATTAAAACCTAAAAGATTTCTGTAGGACACATCAAAGTAACTCTGACATGGGACAGAATGTGTTGACATAAGAGCTCTGTGCTGCTACCTAAGTTGAAAAAAGGAAAAATGTAGTAATGTAATTGTTATAGGTGGTTGAAGGGGGCATTAATGAACCTGACTTTCTCAAAAAAGCTGATGGAGTTTGCAGAATGGAGACATCTTATGTAATTAAAGGATGGCTGTAAAGATATATTGGATCCCAATCTGTGGAAGATTTGTTGTACAAGTATTATGGAGATATTCTCAGTGGTAACTTTCTTTTTTCTGAGAGTGAGGAGTAGTTATTTAGAGATTCCATTCATAATTTTAAAGAAAAGCAAAGATGATAAACTGGAGGCTTTTTATTATCAAGAACTAATCAATGGTATTTGATGCTGGATGGACCAGAGACAATGGTCGTACTGGATTTATGAGAAAATAGAAGCTGTTTATGGACTTTATGTGAGTTCAGTGCAACAATAGATTGTTAACAGAGGGCTTTGAACTTTAGCTTCATGGTTGGGCGCTACCTTCTGCCTTCCAAAGGGTATTAAACTTGGTTTTGCTGGTTAGCTTAGGGCCACAATAGGTTGCTCACCCCTGGAGGTGGTTGACAGGGTAAAAAGACCATCCGTCCTCCTGATTCTGGTTTTCAGCATAGTTTTAAAATTTTAATGTGCAAAGGCCTACAATTTTAAATTGCTTTCTATCATCTTTTTACATTGTACAAGCTGTCCAGAGTTATTCTATTGGTGAAAGGGGCAGCATATACATTTAACAAATAAATACAATTCCATCAGTTCTAGAGACCAGTTCCAAGTCCATACATAGTTTCATCCATGTATGGTTTGATCTCACAGACTACTCATCATCAGGGGTGGGATTCAAATTTTTTAACAACCGGTTCTGTGAGCGTGGCTTAGTTGGTGGGCATGGCTTGGTGGTCATGTTATTGGCTGGGCGTGGCCAACTCAATATCACTCACATCGAGGTACGCATCTCCTCACCTGGCCTCTCTTGACTGTGGGGATACTTCAACAGTTGTAAGTGTGAAAAATGGTCAAGTCAGTTTTTTCAGTGCCATTGTAACTTTAAATGGTCACTCCACACAAGCAAAGTACCAGCAAAGGAGGAAAAAACTCCAGAGAAGTTCCTGAGACAGGAAGTCCAGTCCTGCCAAGAATGTAATAAGGGTAAACTGAGAGGCAGTTTCTGTAAGCAACACCAGAATGTTTCCTTCCTGCCTTCCTTACAGGATTAGGCCAGTAATTTCTTCTAACAACCGGTTCTCCAAACTGCTTAGAATGTTAACAACCAGTTCTAATGAATAGGTGCAAACTGGTAGAATCCCACCCCTGCTCATCATCGGATTGTCCTGGTTCCCCAACATTTGACATGGACCTTGTTAATCAAGGTGACATTCAAGCTGGCATGACTCTCCTAGTTCATGTCACTTTCATATTTGATACAGGCAGGTGAAAGATTAATTAATCTTTGCCCAAGGATCCCTACTGCTAAGGTGGGTAACAACTAAGATTAGAAACTGCCGTTTCCCACATGAAAGGTGGCGCTCTAACCACTACACTCTCTAGCTGCTATGATTATATATATATGATTATATATATATGGATCTTTGGTTGTTCGGGTTTTCTCCCGCGTAAGATTCAAAGTATCTAGGCAACGTTTCGATGAAGTCTCATTCATCATCTTCAGGCTTCTGTCTTCGGCTCTTGCTTCTCAGACTGAGAAGCCGAAACAACCAAACAACCAAAACCCGAACAACCAAAGATCCACATACAAATACCCGCGAGAACCTCAGAAAACCCGTACAGACCCGTACCTGAAACCACTCTTGGCTCGTCAGGAAAACAGCGTAGACCTGACCTTAAGGAGGCCTTAGGTCTGGTACGTTTCACATCTAGGCCCCGCACTGAACCTGTTACAGATACTACAGTGGTTGGAATTTATGATTCACGATGGAAAAAGGGACGATTCCAGTACTTTGTGGGAAGAGTAGAAAATGAAACGGAGATCCGTTATTGGCAGGATGTGGCCAAGGTACATGCCCCAGACCTTGTTCGAAGATATCATGCAGAATTCCCTTCAAAACCACATCCTGAACATAAGACTCGGGGGACGGGCCCTGAGGTGGGGGATAGTGTTGTGATTGGAAGGTCCAATCCTGTTAGGAACGCTGGGTGGATGTCAGAAGCAGGCGTCTCCTGACGAGAAGAAACCAACGGGAGCACAGGAGGAGGGCAGATCAGTAATTAGACTAATTAGCTGCTGCTCTATAAAAGGAAGAGGGATGACTCTGCACGCTGTCGGGAACAAATTGTTTGCAAGGAGAACCGAAGACTTTGGCTTGGAGGATTTAAACCTGAAATATCTTGTTGGGACTTGGATTTATTGGAACTATTAACTTGGACTATCTTGTGGAGGCTAACTACAGCTGTTATCAGTGAAGATTCCTGGTTGCTGCCTTTATTTGCGAGGACTGCTGCTTTCAGCCTTATCTGTTTATTTTTGAAGGTGGGACATAACATATATATATATATATATATATATATATATATATATGTATGTATGTATGTATGTATGTATGTATGTATATGTATATGTATATGTATATGTATATGTATATGTATATGTATATGTATATGTATATATATATATATATATATATATATATATACCTAGACTTACATACATACATACATATATATATGTAGGTAGGTCTAGGTGTGTTCGGGTCTTTCCCCCTGTAAGATTAAGAGTATCTTCGCGACGTTTCAGTGAGGTTCCACTTGCCATCCTCAGGCTGGTGCTTTCTGCTTCATGCCAGTGCAAGCAGTGTGTGATCGGAGCTGCCGTCTCTCTATAAATACTGGTGGTGGGGGCTGGTGTGCTGGGCTAGTTGGCTGCGCTGCTGCCTCTTGATTGGTTGATGGAGTTGATGTTGGTATAATGAGCTGTGTGATGGCCTTGTGAGTTTTGTTGTGGAGATATCCTGGATCTTGTGCTGTAATCTCCTGGGTCATTTGTTTTGTATTGATCTTTTTTCCATTAGCCTCTTGTGTTTTAACGGCTTGGATAATGGGTTGTATGAAGGGCTTGCGAGTTCTTTTGTTGTGGTACCCTGGGTCCTGCGTTGTAATCTCCTGGGTCATTTGTGTTTTGATCTCTTTTCCATTAGCCTCCTGTATAGTACCAGCTTGGGTAATGGGTTGTGTGATGACCTTGTGAGACTTATTGCTGTAGTATCCTTGGTCTTGTGCTGTGATATCCTGGGTCATTTACTGTGTTGCAACTTCTTGAGTCCTTGTGGTTTAATTTCCTGAGTTTTCTGATGTGATATCCTGAGCTGTGATGTAGCATTCTGGGTTTTAGTCTGGCTTCGAGTTTGGGGTCTGGGTCTGTGTTCTTGGCGCCACAACAATAGAACTCAGAAGGTCATCACATGAATTAGTTTGTTAGACTGATAATGCTTCCCTGCCTGTCTCTTGTTTTTTTTAGAAGGCTATAAGAGTGGGGACAACTAATCAGGGCTGTTTCTTCTTCTCCACAGCAATGTTTTTTATCGGAATCTTTGCATTTATGGTCCTTGGCATCCTAGAGAATGCCTGCATGGAATATTGCAGGGAGCAGAATTTCAAGTTACCATCCTTCAAGAACTTTACAAGAAAATTCTTGCGAAAGGAAAAAATAAAAGCAGAGGACTCTATCTCCGATGTAGGTGAGCTGTAGTCAACACACAAACAAGCGGCAGAATGAGAAAATACAAGGGGATGCAGAAAGGTCTATATGTCAGAGGGCCCATTTGGCCATGTAAGAATGAGCATTCTCAGAAGTGGATGCAAACTGAGAGAATGTATATGTAGTCTACAATCACCCCATGAGTTTTGTGGGTGGTCTTGAACCTCGATGTCCCTCTTCCTAATCCAATATCTTAAGCACTATTTCACTAATATTCAGAATAGAGACCATATTGGATATTTGCCAGATGGCAAGTTGCTGAGGTGGGAATGGGACAATTTGCCATAGCCAACTTGCAAATGTCAACTCGCCATGGCCAACTCACCATGGGACAACTTGCTGTGGGACAGTGTAACAATTCTTGTCAACGTTCCACTTAAACTTCGGGGCTGAGAATCGTATTTAATTATTTAAAATAAGTAAAAAATATTTTAATTTTTGCCATTCACATTTCATTCTGTCCCTGCTTCTGCATCCTTTCTTTAATGATTCTATTCCACCATTTCTTTGATATTAGTGTAACTCTTGCCCCGCAGCAAGTTGTTCCATGGCGAGATGGCCGTGGCAAGTTGTTCTGCAGCAAATTGGCTGTGGTGAGTTGGCTGTGGCGAGTTAGCCATGGTAAGTTAGCTGTGGCAAGTTGGTCATGGCGAGTTGGCTGTGACGAGTTGTCATAGACCCTGCTGAGGTTGCTCCCTCCACTACTTGAGTGCCTCCACCCAATTGCTTGCTACCTCCCATGTAAACCAGGGAATTAACGCTACACCTTGGAGGTAATTGGAGAGCTTCCTTACTACATGACCTTGGTATCTTTTGTGATGGGCACACCCACCTCAGCATGTTTCTGGTGAATAGATCAGGGGTGTCAAACACAAGGCCCGCGGGCTGGATGTGGTTGGATCCGGCCCACAGGGTCACCCTGGAAAATGTAAGGGGCTAACCCCACTTCGGCCCTGTCTACCCAATGCAGCTTTGGCCTGGTCTACCCAGTGTGAAGAGGAAACATGCCAGCAGTTTAGGGAGTAGTGTCAAGCTGGTCATGCCCACCCAATTCACCACACCCACCCAGTCAGTCACACTCACTCGGCCGCCCAAGGTCACATACAGCCCTAATGCGGCCCTTAATGAAATTAAGTTTGACACCCCTGGAATAGATCAAGTCTCGGGCATGCCAGCCATTTGTGTGATGCATAATTTGTTTTAAAAACGCCACTCCTTGGAAAAATCCCCTGATTTTTTTTTAAACGCAATAATAACTTGATAGTTTCTCACTTTTTCCCTTATAGGAGAAGAGATAGACATGGAGAACAAACAAACAAGGGAATTTCCCTTGGTGGAAAATGACAACGCAGACAGCCTTGTGTTTCTGAAACAGGTGACCCTGGAGCTGCAACAGATCAAGAAGCACCTGGCTCTGGAAGAAGGCAAGGAGGTTTCTGGCCCTGCCCTACAGGACAAATATGTCCGGTTGGAGAAGTGCCTTTGTTATACCCGCTTGATCTTATCCCTTGGTTTTATAGCCTTCATTGTGGTGCAGTGGACAAGCTGAATTTGTTTGTAGCCTGGAACCAGCTTGCTATATTTTAATGGCCCCAGGTCATGGAATGTATGTAGGCAACACTATTGGGCTAATTCCTCCATCACATTATAACAAACAGCATCCAGTCTGTGTTCATATCACACGTAGGCTACTGTATTTTTAAAAATGAGCTTTCAAGCTTCTACTCCTGAAATTGAAATATGCCTTGCTATATGTGACACTTAGCTGCATTTTCAACATTTTACTGCCTGCATCAGTATATGCTCCCAATCCAGGGTGAGGGAAAGTGCTAGCCCAGCAATGCTTTAAAAATTGAAATCGGTCTAATCTGTAGATTCTGTTCAGGAATGTCTTGCTTTGTCTTCTGGAGAATGTTTGGCTCTGGTCCCAAGACTCTATTCAGCCACAGTCCTCAGCCAATAAACTCTTCTTTAAGAGTTCTTCCATCTCAAATGTTCATAACATAAAAAGCTACTGTGGAAATGAAATTAATGCACATAACAAATGAGCAGAGCTTTGATTGCTCCATCATGCCCACCATCTTGACTTTCTTTTCCCCCAGCCATATCTTGTGGATGCCCCTGACTTGATCTATTTTAAAATTTTTATCCCCCTACTTGATCTCAGTGGCAAGACATGAAGAAAGTATTATAAAGAAATAATTGAATCTTCTCACTGCAAAATGCTACAAGGGTTGATATCTGTAACTGATCATTGAGCAAAGTGTTTTGATAGTGGAGTTGAACTACCACTTTGTCCTTCAGGCAGGATGTGAAGATGGCTTTCTTGCTTCTTCTGACCATTTTTAGTGATGCTCCATTTTCTTTTTTCCTATTTCATTAGCTGCATCTGAATGTAAACCACATTATGAGGCATATGTGTGCATGCAGCTATTTAATGCATGATCAAGACAGTACTAATATAAAAGAACTTGTCAGTATCATGTACACATCTTTAAAAAATCTATTTGTTAATCTCAATGTCATCGTAGTTGTTTCAGGTGCATCACTGTTCTAGCTAAACCATAAAGCCTTCTGGATGAACTAGTATCTAAAATTTCCCAAGGGACGATTGAAAAAAAAACACAATTAAATGTCGGATAAAATATTGATACATATATAAGAAAACATATTTATAAGTCTTGTGCATATTTTCCCTCGGAACTTTATGAAATAAAATTTGTTCTTTAATACAGTGTTCCACATTTTGTCTTTCCAGATTGATGACAAATTGGTGAAAATAGTGGAAGATGGATGTAGATGTTTCTGTATCATAAGATCAGGGGTGGAATTCTACCGGTTCGGACCGATTCAGGTGAACCGAATGTTAAATTTGCATCTGGTTCACCGAACCAGTATTTGAACTTAATGGCTGGCCCCGCCCAGCCTGCCCACCCCTCCCAAGAGTCTCCACGCAGCCCACTTTCGATGCAGGTAAGTGCAGGGTCTGCATGGAGGCTCTGGGAGGATGAAAAACAGGCCTTCCAGAAGTACCAGAAGTCCAAAAAGAGGCCTGTTTCCGGTTTCTGGCGGGCCTGAAGAGCCCCAGCGAGGTTGTTTTCACCCTCCCAGAGGCCCGAGGGACACCTCCAGACCCTTGGGAAGGCAAAAAAGGCCCTCCTGGAAGTACCGGAAGTCCGGAAACAGGCGTGTTTCTGGCTTCTAGTGAGCCTCCAGAGCCCGTGGGAGGCCGTTTTTGCCCTCCCAGAGGCCCGAGGGAAGCCTCCAGACCCTTGGGAAGGTGAAAAATGAAGTTCTGATAGGCCACACCCACCCAGCAACTGGGCAGTGAACTGGTTGCTGGGATTTTTTGAATCCCACCCCTGCATAAGATGCTACATTTAAAGCATGTCCCGGAGCTCCTTGGGGATGTAGGGATAATGATCAAGACAGGATCTCTCAGCAGTAATAGCCATTTTCCATTAATGCTTGGTTGAAATTGCTTTTGTGTCCCTACCTGTCCTCTTTTCTCAGTAGTTGGAAGAGAAGGGATGTGTAAAAATCATTTCATTTCCCTCTACAATCACTGACTTTCATTCTGAAAGCAATTTAATTTTAGCATATTCTTCAGCCCTCCCTCTTGAACTACTTAAGACAGAAATCAGAGGAAAAAAACCTCCACTTCACCTAACCCTATGTAAGAGACAGAGTAAGAGACAGACAGAGAGGGAGGAAGTGCTGAGATACTCTTTTTAATATTTTTCCTTTCATCAGTTTTTCAATTCAAGCTGCACTAGTCTCTGTGCTGTTTTCTTAAGATATCCAAATGACCCATTCTATCTTGGGAGTTCTGAAGGCCCGGCACTTCAGCTGGGGAATGCTGAGAATTGCTCCTCTGCATTTGGGAAGTACATCTAGTAAAACACTTTTGTGATGAATGCTTGATACTCACTATGTTTTTAACTCTATGTGCTGGTTTACATCAGCCACTCAGACTCTTCAAGAATTGAGGAGCGTACAGCAGATATCATAGCAAGTAAAAAGTAAATTAATACATAATCTCTCATTGCATACAGGCTTGGTGCATTATGAACCCGACTCTAAAAATACACTGGAATTATTAGTCCTCGTTATTTTCTGCAATTAATAAACTAGGATTTTCAATGTTAGTTGAATACTGATTTGGGTCTTTTTGTTAGCCATGTGCCAGGATATTTCTAATAGCATGATATTTATAACAGCTATAGTATACATGCTCACAGATGTTAAATTCAGGGGAAATGATATAGAATAACATTTTTATTATATAAGCAATTTAGAGGTCCTGGGAGGTTAGTACTGAAGTAACAGCAATTTTTGCTATAAGAAAGCAAGCTTTCTTTCCAGTGGACTCTTCAAAAATTGGCAGTGACTAAACAGCAATGTGAAAGTTGAGGAAGCAAGTAAGCCATGTATTTCTGGAGCATGCTTCCATTATATCTAGCTTTTGGTCCCCTGATGGCAACAGCTGATGTATCAAACATTTGCCTTTTTTACAGATGAAATGGGAAAGCAACCAATTTGCCTTTCAGATAAACCATTCCCCCCAAAAGAAGGAAAAAAAACCAGTTCTCTTATCATGTCATCCTGCTAATCTTTCCTGGAAATCTCTGTGCAACATACTTTTATATTTAGGTGCATACATATGTCTGTATTCTGGGTAATGATGCAAAAAGGAAGAGGAAGAAGAAAGATTATTAATCTTCAACAAAACAGGCTAAGGGGACACAATATCGCCCTTGATTTTTTCCATTGTCGTCTTTGGAAAAAAAGTGTACAGGCTCCAGAAACAGATATGGCTATCCTTTTATGGTGATAGTTTTTACATGAAATTCCCAGTCTTCACTCTCCACAAAGTAAACCATTTAAATAGCATCTCCTTTCTCTAAATAATTTGCTTTCTTCTGAAAATGAGATGCTCTTTCCCTGCCCTGCAGGCATGCCAGCATAAACCAACTATAAAGCCATTTGCAACTTTATAGAGGAGTAAAAAGGTTCTCACATGTAAACAGACTGAGATTGATCGGTATGAGTCAAGGATCTGGGGGTGGGGGGAGAGAAAGAAATATTTAAAGAGCTAATAAATAATTACACTAGAAAATAATGGTACAAAACAGATAGGAACAAGGACACAAAATTAATAGATTAAATAGAACAATAGAATAAGATAGGAGAGAAAAATAGAAACAAGCATAGAATAAGCATTTACTTCAGAAAGAGTAGGAATTTAATTATGTACAATAAAACATATTTTTGTAAGAAAAACAAATGCAGTCTTTGTGATCTGTACCATACTTAAAAAAAGTTAATAGGGATATATTGCAAGGTAACTATTCAAAAGGTTAAAGCATCAATCCATAAAATGTTGACAGTTTTATATAAGCACATTGGCTTTTTAATCCATCATAATTCCTATTTGAACAAATCCAGTATTATTAATTCCAGGCTAACATTAAATCAAATCCAAACCAAACATTTAAATACTCCAACTTTTAGGACAGTATAATAAGAGGCAACAAGCCCATGCAATCTTAGTAGTAATTATGTGAATTTCAGGATTCTTAGAAAAAAAGAGGCAGATTTCGAGGGCTCATGTGCAATTACTTTATTTAATAGATTTATGAAGAAGAACTGATGTTGCACAATGCTTTTGAACAGCCAGTGTTTATACATCAGCAATAAGCTTGTGTGGCCAATGAGGATATTTTACTGGGTCCAGTGTAGGATCTCGAAATTTTTCAGGTAGATCTTCATATGTCATATTTTCAAAGGGTATCATGTTTCTCAATTGCTGAAGCTTAAGAGGAAAAAAAAAAACACCATAATTACTAACACATGATGAAAGAAATGCTGAAAATCAGCAAGACAGAAATTAGCAGGAGAAAATACAGTGCAATGACAAAAATCCTTTGGTATAATTAAAATTGCTAGCTTACCTCCTCCTCATATTCAGCAATGCGGGCTTTGGAAGCCTGTACGAAGTCAGCAGCATTCTTATCCTGAAAGAAGAGATAGCAACATTATGAGAAACTTTGATTCCAGGGAAGCTATCCAGGGATTTAAATGTTTACTTATGGGAGCAGGGAGGCCTGAATGGATCTGATCACAGGACCTGCCTCCCAATGCCTCTCAAAGCTTCTCCAGCCCATATTTCTTTGACAGCGAGGAGGGAATATGAATTAATGGGCAGGATTCACTACTTTAGCAAATATTTTGGACACATAGTATCAAAAAGATCCCTAGATATATTGGCAACATGAAATTCACAACAGGATGATATAGCAACCCTTTTCCTGTTTGTGAGAAAAAAAGAAATACAAGTAATACTCGACTTGCAACCATTCATTTAGTGACTATTCGAATGGTCCTGAAAAAAATGACTTACGGATGTTTTTCACACTCATGACCATGGCAGCATCCCCATGGTCATCTGAACAAAATTTGAACACTTGGCAACCGGCATGTATTCATGACAGTTGTAGTGTCCAGGATCATGTTTTGCCACCATTTGACAAAGTCAATGAAGAAGCTAGATTCACTTAATAACTGTGTTACTAACTTAACAACTGCACGGATTCACTTAGCAATGCTGGGAAGAAAGGTCGTAAAATGGGGCAAAATTCACTTAAGAACTGTCATGCTTAGCAATGAAAAATTTTGGGCTCAATTATGGTTGTATGGTTGTAAGAAAAAAACCAGCAAAGGATGCATAACAGTAACCTAACTGTGCCTGATAACTGGCCTGCTTGTAGGAGCAAAAACCGGCTTTGGATGTAGGAGGGCGGTGGCTCACGAGGTTAGGACACTGGGATGACAATTGGCAGGCTCACATTCAAGACCTGGTTGCTGTCACAGGACAGGTTGAGCTTCCATCACATGTTGTAGTTCTTGCCAAACCAGAAGTTCAAAAGCGGATGACCATAAGTAGATAGATGGGTACCACAACAGCGGCCAACTTAATGGGGACATGAAAGGAGCTCCCAACTGGGCTTCCCCCAGGCAACAGTAATGTCACTATTCAATCCAGTAGTGCATTGGTGCTCCTGACACAAATGTAGTAGTAGTGGGCTTTGGATTTCTTGGATATTCAGCATGGAGTAAGTGAAAAGTCATCAGTACTTTTCACTTAGTCCATGCTGAGAAAGCATCAGGAACTTTGGTTTTGGTTGGTTTTGTAATTCATTAGAACTTATTTTTGTTATACATTTTGATCAGTTCATAAAGTAATAAGGAATGATAAAAATGCTGAATATATTTTAAAATTTGGAATATGTCTATAATAGGCCAGCAAAATATAACTGTTGAAAATATATTCCTAGAAAATTGAATAGGTAGGTTCATTCTCCTGTACCTGGCATAAGAACAGTGTGTGTTGTATAAAATATGGGCAGTATGAACTTTATAGCCAATAATAAAGTCAGTAATACCACAATTACAGTGGCACAGATTTATACGTGCCCTGCAAATAAATATCCACGTGTACATAAAATACCTATTGGATATAGCTAATTCTCATAATCCTTATCCTGCCTTGTTGAGATTGACAGATCAAAGTTACAAGATCTCTCAAATGGATGGTTCCATAATTGCTCCAAAAATCAACTAAGTCACTGCTATTTAGAATTGATATTTACATATAAAATACATGCAGAACAAGTGATCTTTATAGTATTTGCCAAGTAAGGAAATTGTTCCTCTCCCTAATTTTTGCATTCATATTCTAATTTTTTACTTTGTACCTCAACAAATGCTATTATTTCCAGCTTTTAATCTTAAAGAGGAAGAAATGGAAGGTTTTCAACTTATTCTTCCAGACAATGTAAAGCCTGCAACTTTTATACTTAAAATTGGCCATTGTCAGTGCCATGATTCTAGCAGAGAAATTAAAGGCAGAAATCCATAAGCAGGTGGAATGTGGGAAGCAGGGAATGACATTCTGTATAATTTAACTAATGTCCCCATGAGTAAAGATTAGGCCAGGAGCAATCTGCTAAAATGCCATACAGACACCTCTGCAAACACCATTTATGTGCAATGAAAAGAACAGTAATAGGATAGTGGAAAACTTACAGACTCCTTTTCTTGGGCGGTTATTTTAGCTGTTTCGGTATCCGCAGGCATAGGAATCTGCAATGCCTTAAACTGTGAAAATTGAGGAAATAATAAATGAAATGTGTAGCTTCTGGTTTCCAAATTTATGCATACCATATGTACCTTCCTCCTTCTATCTACATTTCTAATTCAATAGTAAAGTACATAGTTTCCAATATCTCTGGATTAGGCTCTTGTACATTTATTGTCCTGTTGTATAACAACTTTCAACCATAAGATCTAAATTCTCATTCCAATTATCTATTGCAGACTAACCTTAAATATCTGACAAAAGAACTGGACTCATTTACACATTATCTCCTAGGAAAAAAAGCACCACTTTATGAGATTTAATGTCTGGGCAACCAACCTTTTGGCTTTGCTTGGCTGTACTGAGTGAAGAGGAATTGTCTTGAGCCACATATAAAATATATAATATGGTTAATGTATACAAATATTGCTGAAATCACATAATAATGATAAGAGTTTAAGATCTTATGGGGCCAATTTACTTTGTTTCCAGGGTTGCATGTGGCCAAGGGGCCATGGATTGGGCAATTTATTCCATTAAAAAATCTCAAATCTCCTTATTCTAGTAGCTCACACCCTTCTTCTCCACATTAGTTCCCTGAACCACAGCCAGTTTCAAAGTTTAGGAGTTATCCAGTGAGCAAAAAATCTGAAATAGTTGCCATTTTCCTGCGAGATAAATTTTGCAGTTTTAAAATTTAGCTGATGTTGCCCAAGGACAGAAGTCACTTTACAAGAAGAGGCAATAAGGCACTAGAGCTAATTTTAAAATCTTTTGATATCATAAGTCTTACAATAAATACGGTGTTCTCACACATTATTTTAAAAGAATCGTGCTTAAATTTCACCAGATTTATAGATTCAGAGTGGTTTTGGTAGTTTTTCCTCCCTTATTACGGTACATTGGGCAGCCTATCATCTGGATCCCAGGTCAGAGTAGACAATTCCTTTCTATGGAAGGAACTACAGCTGGATCTCCTGCCTGGCTGTGTGACCAATTAACCCAACACTTTGCAAATGAAATTGCTCCGATTTGCATAAATCTTGGCACTTCATAGGGAAAATTCCCTGAGATGACTGCAGCAATGTTGTGTCATGTTATCCAGACACTAACCAGTCATTAAGTGAGGATCTTACATGATCAGAATCCTAGGTAAGCAGGGTCTTCCCAGCTACTACTACGTGGGCAGGATGAAACCATGATCAGCCTAGCTTAAGCTGATACAACAGTTGCATACAAGTTCTTGCAATAGTGATTCATGCCCACATTCTCTCATCTGAAGAGCTGAATCCCACTTTACACACACATTTACTTCTGAGTATCCTTGAAAGCTTCAGTGGCTTGCTGCTGACAGTTCCTTGGTATCAGTTCAGTGTTTTGCTTTAGGCCCCGAACATGAGTGCAGTACTGTGTTTTAGGACCTGAACTAGCTTCCAATTAGCTCCTAAATACAATTCAAAGTGCTACATAACTTGGGATGAGAATACTTCTAGAAGCACTTTTTCCACCCAATTTTGAACTGCCAGACTTGAACATATCAGAAAAATCTGCGTGTGAATCCCAACTTTTGCCAGGTAAGAAATATGAAGGCTCATAGCCACATCTCAGTTGAAGCATTTTGGAATAGCATCCTCCCAGAGATTTGATTTGCACTACCCCTACTCTACTTGTTTTCTCTAAATCAGGGGTGTCAGACTGGCAGCTTGAGGGCTGGAAGCATCACACGTAGGCCACAACCACCCCAGCTTCAGGGGAAAACGTTGCAAAACATCATGTGACGGCAACGTGATGCAGCAAGTTTGACACCCATGCTCTAAATTGTTAAAAGGGGGGGGGGGTATTTCAAATAAACTGAGAGGGATGAATTGGTGCTATCACATTTTTATTGGTGTTTATGAACTGCCAAGTCTCTTCTAAATGCAGTGGAATACAACTCAAACACCCCAAAATTTAAAAGTGCCTTACCTTCTTTTCAAATTCATCCACTAAAGTAGGGTTCATAACTGTAGTCTTGTAGAAAGTCCAGTCAATGGCTGGTGGTGTCTCTGGCAAAGACGCAAGCCTATTTAGATACATAAAAGTCATTTTTCATTCTTGAGCTTCACAACAAGAAAAGTCGAACAAATATCTGGATATTCTGTTACCAAAATAAAAACTTGATTAACAAAGAAATGTTATATTTAAAGATCTGTTGGATGGAAAGAATTACTACCTGTACCAAAATTTTCCCATACCTAGTGTAATCATATTTATTAACAATGACTGAGAGGCAATCAATATAGTCTTAATATTTAGCTATTTAACTCTTTATTTAAATTTAATTTAATAATAAAATCATAGGAACAGTTCTGTTTAAGGATTTCACTAGATCGGAAAGCATGTCCATGTCAATAATCAGTACACCTATGTCTTATGGTACTCTTTACAAACTAAGAAATATACTCACTTGGCTGCAATAGCATCACTACGTGATTTGAAAGCATTAAACATATGTTTCTGATCAGCTGACACTCGTTCAGCAAATGCTGCCCAATCTATTGCTTTCAGAGCAACCCTGCGGCCAGCCATTGTTATCACCTAGAAAATGGGAAGAGATAGAGAGTAAGGAATAAAGGAAATAGATAAGAAAATAACATAGCAAGTGTGGTATAAAGGAAGTGAACAATGGACATTTGTAAAAAAAACAAAACCAGAAATTTTCAACCAAATGAAAACAAGAACTAAAATGCATCATAGAGTTATTCAGAAGTAAATCTGGTGTTTGATGGTGTGGTTCAGGCACCAGGCTAGAAACCAGGAGACTATGAGTTCTAGTCCCACTTTTTAGGTCGGGGGGTGGGGGGATGTTTCAAAATCATGCAATTTCGATTTCATTAAAAAAAAGAAAGACAGATAGCTTTTTAAAAAGCTGATACTAGCAGGATCGTTTGCTCCGAGAGATCAAGCAATTCCCCCCCCCCCACCCATAATTATCCCAAACAAAACAGCAAGCGATTTTTTTTCTATTTTAGCATCTGTTTTGCTAGCCAAGAGGAGACCACGCTGAAGAGCAAATGTCTGTCCCTGGAGGCGCCAACAAAGAACCCAGACCCGCACCATAACGAAACGAGAAGCATTACAGGCAAAAAGATTGCAGAGGAAAGCCGGCTAACACGCAGGGATTGTTGCCTCTTGCAGGGATTGTGACCCTCCCAAAGGACGTCGGGTTCCTCACCTTCACCCACCCCGGGAACTTCACCGCCGGAAAAAGCTCCCGGAACCAAAGACTGACGGGGAACAACGGGCCCAATCGGGACGACTCTCTCCTGAAAGAGGGCGGCCCTTGCCGTCTCATAGACAGCGCAAAAGGCGAGAGTGCAGCCTGCTCTTCTCCGAACGGCAAGCAGGGCCAAGGCAAACTACCTGCCTATGGAGATTCTCACTCATAACATCACCCAGGTCGTGGTTGTCCCAAAGATGTTTTTTCAAGAGGCTTCTTCAGCTCTTCTTGGATGAGAAGCGAAACGTCTTCAAAGAAAAACCAAGAAAGTCCAGTTGCCTCTTGAAAAAGCATCTTTAGGACAAGGCAAACTACCGTAATGGAGTAGTCAAAAGCGAGGGGGGTGAGCTTGGCTTTGCATGGGCCCAGGGATGGTGGTGGCTTCTGGGGGCAAAGTGGTTGAACCTTGCTTCGAATTAAAGTTTTGGGCTCTCTCTTGGTGCTTGGGCAAGTAAACTTGTCATCCCCATGAGTTCCCTTAAAATATAGGTAATCCTCAATTTATACGACCACAACTGAGCCCCAAATTTCTATTGTTAGGTGAGACATTTGTTAAGTGAGTTTTGCCCTATTTTATGACCTTTTCTTATCAGAATTGCTAAGGTTCATAAGTTCATAAATTAGCCATCCAGTTGTTAAGTGAATCTGGTTTCCCCATTGACCTTGCTTGTCATAAGTCGCAATGACCTTGGGACACAGCAACAGTCATAAACATGAACCCAGTTGCCAAGTATCTGATTTATAATTGCATGATCATGGGGATGCTGCAAAGATTGTAAGTGTGAAAAATGGTCATGAAACATTTTTCAGTGCCATTGCCATTTTGAACAGGGACTAAATGAACTGTTGTAAGTCGAGGACTACTTGCACCTTCCATTTCTGTCCTTTGCAGAACTGTGTGCTTATATTACCTAAACTACAATCTCTAGCCACGACCGAGTCTCCATCTTCGGCTCTTAAGTTCTGCCACAAAATCGGGTCTCTCTGCCCCGTTACATTCAATCGATGATGACTAGTAAGCGATTGCTTTTAAGAAGCGTTTATTTAGAAGTGAAATCATAATATGAAAAGGTTGCGAATGCTATCGGGGGAGGGGGGATAACCCAAACTTCTGTGGCTAAAAAGTCCATCTTTTAAGCCACCTCTATCCACCCCACCCATGCCGCCCCTGCGATTGCAAAGCAGGTATACAGTAAAGTTCTCTTCTCCCGCTCGAAAGGACGGTGCAAATTGTATTTTTTCTGTCTTCTCTGTGAAGCAGACTCTAAAGATCGCCTCCGAAAGAGAACGGGCTTTTGGTTTCAAACAATGTTTGTTCCACTAAGAAATTAATTAGGAACGTCCACTACAAATCAAGAAGTACCGATCAAAACTCCAGGGGTTTATGGCACAGTTGCCTATGTATTTCCTTCCGGTGTGTCTCCATCACCTTCCCGACTGTTATTTCCATCTCGACTGATCGAATTTACTTGTTCCGACTCCCTTTAAGGATGGAACGTCTGGAACGAAGCCGGAACCAGGCGCAGTCATTCGAATCGGAGAGCGCTGGATGACCCGGAAGAGATTCTTCCTCCCGGAAGTCCAGCGTTCCCTGTCAGCGGCGACTGAGGGGATGGCTGCCGAGCCTCGACCAAAGCAGCTCCAGTCTTTCCGCCCGGGCCGCTGACTCAACAAAGGGACCACCACCCGCCCACCCAGGGGAAAAGCCGCAGCCGAGTATGGCGGAGTTAGTGGCTGGGGAGGGGCAGCCACGAGGCCGCACGCCCAGCCCGCTCCCAATCTCGGGGCCGCCGAGCCCTCGCCCAGCTGCGGCCCCCGCCTGTCCCGCGCGGAGTCTGGAGCCTCCGCCGCCCGAGAAAGCCGCGGCGGGGAGCGGCGGCGGCTCCAAGTGGGTCCGGCTCAACGTGGGCGGCACTTACTTCGTGAGCACCCGCCAGACCCTCTGCCGCGAGCCCAAGTCGTTCCTCTGCCGCCTCTGCTGCCAAGAAGGGCCGGAATTGGGCTCGGACAAGGTGAGCGGGCGCAGCGGCCGGGCCCTAAATCGCATCCCTCCCCCTTTCGCCTGTAGGCCGGCACACCCAGAATGACGGGCGTGGCATCTGCGGGCGCTATTGCAGGCAGTCCTCGACCTACGGCCACAAATGGGTCCTGGAGTTTGGGTTGTTACCCGAGAATCTTGTTAAGTGAGTTTTGCCCCACTTTTCTTGCCACCACAGTTGTTAAGTGAATCACTACAGTTGACAAGTTAGTAAAACCGGGTTGTTCAGTGAATCTGCCCCCTTAACTTTTGCTTGTCAGCAAGTCACAAAAATGAAAAACACATGACCTGTCATAATAAGTATGAACCAGTTGCCAAGTATCTAAATTTTGATCAAATGTCCATGGGGATGCAGCAAAGGTTGTAATTCTGAAAAAATGGCCATAAGTCACTTTTTTCAGTACTGTTATAACTTTGAATGGTCACTAAATGAACTATTGTAAGTTGAGGACTATGTAGTTTTCGCCCTTCTTTTCACCCTCCTAGCCACCTCTCCTGCATTTCTGGTGTAATAGGGTAGTCATATTTCTAGAAGCAAGCCAAGTTCCTTGCAGAACTCCAGTTTTAACCATAATCACAAATTTTAGACTTAATGAAAACACAGGAGAGGAGGACAAGGGGTGTACAGCTCAATATTACTTCTAGACTGCATCTAAAAATGGAGCATAAGTTCTTTGCACATATAGACATATAGACACACACACACACACACACACACACTTGATTTGCTGTGCTGTTCTTTTCTGTATTGATGGTGTTTACAGAAGATGCTGAGCCATTGTTAATAAGCAAAACTGATTTGTAGAACACAGTATGTTAATATGGTTGCACTCACAGCATCTAAGCTATGACATTGTAACGACTTGGTTTAATCACTATGGCTGTAAACCAGGATGTTTAGCATTCTATTTAAAGTTTTGGCTTAGCTTGAATATAGAAGATTATTAAAAGCACTGCTTTTGTACAGCTTTCCTCTTGAGCAGTCTTATTTATCTTTATTGTGAATATCAGTCTGTAATCAAACACTTCAACAATGAAGGTATTGTCAGTAAATAACTTGAATTTAGTCACCATTTACCTTGGTGTAATGAGTGTAATTAGAAATGGTTTATTAAAAACATGCCTATTTATATTTATATATGCTATGTATTTATAACATGCATAAATAATTCTATATTCTATATCTTTCAGAATCAGGAGTATAATATCTTCATCTTTTGTAGCATTTCAGTACTTCAAATGCATTAAATTTGTATTCAGCCCATTGCTTCTAGAGGGAAGCTTTATTAAGAGCTCTCCAAAATCTCATTGGTTCCACTTGCTATAATTTTACCTTGTTTTTCTGGAAAGGTTGAAGTGAGGAGGTATTCTGATTGCCAATTCAATGCCTCCCCCATTCTACTTTTCCTATCCCATGTTACCTCTTAGCAAGTGCTTTTATTGCCAGTATAGCCATAATATTTGCTAAACCATAAAATTAATCTTAAGCATACATATGGGAAAAGTAGCATAAACTCATTGAAAGGGTGACAAAAAGATACTCTAACCCAAAGTAGTAGAAAGGAGAACGCAACCTTATTTCCAACAACTGTTCTATAAGAAGATCCAGAGTATATTCAGTTCCTTGCCCACCGACCCGATAAATTATACACTGTACTTGAGATTAACTTTTTCTCTCATACAGTTTTTCAGTTTTATATCTATAATATAAATAATGGTTTTTAAAAAAATCAGTATCTGTATACAAAACAACTTCTTTCTCCGGTACTTAAAGCTGTGTGCCAAAGTATAATTTAGAGTGGCTGCTTTAGCATAAAATCACTTACAATGTCAATGCAGAGGATTCTAAATATCCTTTTAAAAAAAACTTACATAATTGTGTTCCTTAGAATTTAATTTTAAATGCAATGCTTTAGATAATAGTGAAGTTATAATAGTTATAGAGGGATATCAAATTTGTGGCCTTTCCTTTCACTTCCAAGTGATACAGTCCTTGCATATTTACTTGATAAGTCCCATTGAGATCCAACTGTTTTCACAAGAAATAAGCTGTACAAATCCTTACAGATTTCACGTTTATGTTAATGGAGTTTTGAGATCAGCCTCTCCAAGATCATTAGCTAAGTAGGCCCACTGAATTCAGTAGGATACATTCCCAAGCATGTGTAGCTTTAGTGGGTTTTCTTAAATAAGTTTGAGCCAAAGGTGGTATTCAGCAGATTCTGACCAGTTCTGGAGAGCTGGTAGTGGAAGTTTTGAGTAGTTCAGAATACCACCTCTGACTGGCCCTGCCCCCATCTCTTATCTGCCTCTGCATCAGCTGGGTCTTCTTTTGTGGCCCTGCACAGGAGAATAGAGCTGGAAAGCAGGTTAGTGGGGTAGGGAGGGAATGGGATTTTACAGTATCCTTTCCCTGGAGTAGGGTGGGAATGGAGATTTTGCAGTACTCTTCCCCTTCCACGCACACCAAGCCACGCACACCAAGCCACACCATGCCCACCAAGCCCCGCCCACAGAACCGGTAGTAAAAAATTTTGAAGCCCACCATTGGTTTGAGCCAAAAAATAAAAAAAATTAAATGTTCTGGATTTATTTTTATGAAGAATATTTTTAGGCTACCAAAAATGTTGATGTAATTTATAGATTTATTAGATACACATATTTCAAGTGATAAAAAACTTTCCTAAGGATTTAGTAATAATAATCAGTGAAATATGTTTATTTTTTTGTGCATTAATTTAATTTTGGCAGGAAAGCTTGTGACATAATTAAGAGCAGATTATCCCAAATAGATAAACACATAATTTTCTAGTTAGATACTGCCAAGGTACATAGGCCACGGTCTGTCTTTTTAAAATTATGTCACAGAATCATCTAACATAAGCAAATGTAGAACAAGATATTCACTGATGCAAGAATTTGGCTCCTTTCTCAGAGAACCATATTCTCAGATTCATGACAGTTGGTTCCTTGTCCAAATGTCTGAATGCCATTAGAATATCTTCCTTTAGCAGCAGACTATAACAGCATTATATCTCCTTACAGGATGAAACAGGGGCATATCTCATTGATAGGGATCCCACATATTTTGGTCCAATCCTGAACTACCTCCGGCATGGAAAACTCATAATAAACAAGGAATTGGCAGAAGAAGGTAAGAAAAACACAACTTTGATAAATGTATAAATCTCTTTTGAAAGTTAGGGATGTTTAATTCCACCCAGAGTTGTTGAGAGTTGGGCAGCATACAAATTTAATTGTGGTAGTATTAATAGAGGTTGGTTTTGCCTGAGCCAGAATTAAGTGTATTTAAATTCATTGATTTCATGATCTGTGTATTTTTAAAATATATTAGAAAGTCTATGTTACTCAGATGCACTGTGGAAAATCAGTACAAAATCAACTTGTTCAAATAGGCGTGTATTTATGCCCATGCAGGGAGGTATCCTTGATAGTGCTTTCTTTAGAGCATTATTTTGGGACTATTATATTAGCATTTGCTTGCCAATGGAACATAGCCTATAAATACAAGCTTCTTTTCATAAAGAGAATCAAAAGAGAAAACCTTTCTTGAATCTCCATGTTATTACCATAAGGAGTTTTATTCACAAGATGTTTCTTGATTTTTATTCAGTTTTGTTTGGATTGTATCTAACAAAATATTTTGATATAATTTTGTTGAGTTTCATTTGGCTGCCAAATGGCATATTATTCAGCCTTCAGTGTTGGAGATTATGTCTTTAGAATTTGGCAGCAAGAATTATTTTGAGAAATTGGAAAAACAGTAATATTTTTGATATTAAGGATTTGTTTCAAGATAAATGTAATATCTATTTTTTAAAAGGCAATTTTATCTCCCAATTAAAAAACTAACTCAATAATTTATCCTTTGGTATAGATTTTATGACATTTTGCAATGTGAGATACCATGATATTTTAAAATACAAACCAGAAACTTATTAGACATTTAATGAATATGTGATATATATCTGTACAGTTTTCCCCTTGTTTTGGTTTTGCTGTTGTATTTCCTGTTGATTTTTTTTTTCATATAATTATCTTCCTCTTTTTTACACTTCTTGCTGTAAAACTTGTTAAGATAAAGCTAATAAAAAAAAGAACTTGGCACTAAGATAATCATATAACCATCAGTGCAGTTTTGCCTCTGGGATGCTTCTTGTCCCCATCCTTAAAATCTCTAAAGAGCTGAAAAGTATATTTTTCAATATTTTGGTAACTTAAGGATCTGCTTCTGAGAGGATTTGTGTTTCCATCCACATTCTTAGATTTTTAGAAACACAAGCTGAAAAAATTCAGCTGCATTCTTTACATTAGTGTCACAGCATCTCTGGGCATTCCTCGGTGTCCTTTCAGACAATAAAAAAGCTGAGTTGTGGCACCCAACTCTTCAAATACAGAATGTCCTGATTTAAATTATAAATTGTTTATATTCCCCAGTCCCAGACATGCAGCAAGATCAGATCTGAAAGTTTTCTGATCAAGAGATGTTGTAATTAACACAGATGTATAGTAACCTTTCCTTCTTACAAATGCTGAAGCCATGTTCTGCATCCTTATTCCTAGGCGTCCTGGAAGAAGCTGAATTTTACAACATTGCATCTCTAGTGAGGCTGGTGAAAGAGCGAATACGAGACAACGAAAGCAGAACTTCTCAAGTAATTCACGTTAGAAAGAAAATAAATATTGTGTCCCTCATATCCTAACATAGGTTACCATTTGATATGGTAGGTTTGTGTGTTTCCTGTGGCATAAGAGCCATGTCAAAGGAATGTGGTATTATTAGTGTCTGAAGGTATTCACTAAAACATTCTACTTTCCCTTTCTAGCTTTTAACAATTACGGTGGCTAAAAGCATGCTTTTAAACACTTTTACAAATGTTTGTTTTTATGAGCGTCTTCCATCTTAATATAATAGTAGTATTACCATCATTTCAATAATATACTATTATTTAGAAAACTTACAATCCTGATTTCTAACTTGTTGGTTTCTCCTTTTAACCCAGGGACCTGTCAAGCATGTTTACCGAGTTCTGCAGTGCCAAGAAGAAGAACTCACCCAGATGGTGTCTACTATGTCTGATGGATGGAAATTTGAACAGGTATCTGTTAAAAGATTCAGAAGTTGGGCTAATTCACTGGATATTTTATGTCATTTTGCTTGTTTATTTATTACATTTATATGCTGTTCATCTCACTAACAAATAAATTCAGGGTGCAAATATGCCTGATAAGTATATATCATATGAAAATTCTATATTGTAGCCTGATTATTAATCATAAAAAGGGTAAAGATTTCCCAGGTGCCTGAATTTAGGAGATGGTGCTTCTCCAATTCACAGCTGAAGAGCCAGCGTTGTCCGAAGACCCTTATGTGGTCATGTGGCAGGCATGACTACATGCTGAAGGCACATGAAACACTGTTACCTTCCCATCAAAGGGGTACTTATTTATATGCTTGTATTTACATGCTCTCGAAGTGCTAAATTGGCAGAGCTGGGGCAGGTAGCCAAAACTCCCTCCCTCATGCGGTACTTATGTTTAAAACTTGACAAACTTTTAGTTGACAAGCCCAGCGTCTTAACCACTTATTTGCTGCACCCCCTGCTTATTAGGCATAATTACTCTGTAATGAAACAGATATTTTTTTCCTGATTAGAACTAGTATAATAAATATCCTTATAGGATTTCATAGCACAAGAAAATGGTTCTTTCAAGATAGTAGTCTTCACTATTGCATTCAAGTACAGTGTGTCTTGTCATTGAGCAGTATCCTAGGAAGAGATAATGATCATTTCTCAACCCTCTGATACACCATTCTTAATTCAACCACCATACATTCAGTGATGGTCCCTATATTCTGTAAATTATTGAAAGCCAGATAATTTGAGTTGCAGAGTTGAATGGAGTTGCCTGTGGTAGAATTCAGAATACTGAAAAGGTTCATTTGGTTCTTGTCTTCTAAGTTACACTTTTATCTACTTACTTTGTGAAAAGACAAAATAAAAGTGTATTGACTCCTGTTTAATACATAGAGTCAAATTATTCTTTACCATTCTTGATAATGTGCAGATACTATTGAAAGTTCTGTCCCCTACAATCTAAAACATTCTCCTGATTTTGTTTCAATTTGCTATAGCAATAGCAATAAGATTTATATACCGCTTCACAGTGCTTTACAGCCCTCTGTAAGTGATTTGTAAAGTAAGTATATTTCCCCCAACAAACTGGGTCCTCATTTTACCAACCTCAGAAGGATGGAAGGCTGAGTCAATTTTGAACCATGCAGAATCAAACTCCTGGAGTGAGCAGTGAGTTAGCCTGTAGTATTGCATTATAACCACTGCGCCACGACGGCTCTCTCTTAACTATTGGATTTCTGTTTTGGGGATAGTTATTAGAGCTGCACAAAGATCTGAATTCAAGGAGCAAAATATGATTAAGAGCATAAAGAACATATGTAGCATCTGTCAGGAACTTCATAAAGCAGGCCTCCACAGGTGCTACATGATCTCAGGAAAAGATACATTTATTTATAAAAGATACATTTATTCATTTATTCGAAGGTATTCCTGACAGGTATTGCATGAATGGCTGGTCCTGCAGCTATGGCTAAATCTACAAAGCCTAGTTCTATATTTTTTTAATGCTAGGATACATGAATAGCTATTCACCCTACCAGCATGGAATAGTCCTAAAATTTGGTGTTTTATCCAGCTATCTCTGGAGCGCCTAGCCACATAATTATTTTCTTTATTTTAAATAATATTGATTTTATAGAATGATCCTATATTGCTTAAATAATAGTAGAAATAATGAGAGAGTAATTAATATGGAAGTGATTGGTGCTGTTTCTGCAAATAGAATCAACATGACAGGGTTACCACGTTGAGCTCTATAAATGGTTTATTATATGAATCACATTTGGTGATCATATTAGTTGCTATTTACTTCTAAACATGCTCTTTTAGATGCATGAGCTTTGAACATTCCTAAATACAGCAACACTTTCTCTGAAAATATATTAATAAAACATATTGAGATTCACCTATGACTCCTGATACCTGGTATACCTGTATATAGTTGCATAACAAAACAGAAGATCTGTTAGTATTTCGATCTGACGGAAGTCACATGGTACATCATACTGTTTTTAGAATTCAAAGGCATAATATGAGCATGCTTTTTCACCTTCTAAATGTTAAAGGAAATTAAAAAGTACTTTTCTTGCAAATTTGTAACTCAGTTGTTATAAGACTGATCTTATGTTCATCTTCTATTGCTATTTTTAACATCATTTCCTTTTTAACAGTTAATTAGTATTGGATCTTCATACAACTATGGAAATGAAGATCAGGCAGAATTTCTCTGTGTTGTATCGAGAGAGCTCAATAATTCTACCAACGGCATTGTCATAGAGCCTAGTGAGAAAGCAAAGGTGAGAACTTTTGTGATTGTAATCCTTCAATTTTCTTATTTATTAAATGGCCTAAAAATAGATAACAGGTGGATATTTTTATAATAATTGTTTTAAACATATTTAAACAGAAAACAAAAACTACAAATGATAAAAGAATAAAAATTAAAAATGGAGAATACAGGAAAATATATACATAGAAAAATTAAAAAAAACATATAGCAGAGGGGGAAAATATATAACAAAATAACTTTCCCCTTTGTTGCAACAAGTATAAACAGATGCAATAACTTTTCTTAAAATACAAAAAAAACACTTTATCCCATATCACATCTCATGTCTGTAACAGATCCTTACCACCATTTAATTCAGTCCTAGTCAGAAAAAGTCCAAAAAGAAATGCCAGAAATAACAACATATCTATTTTAACCTTGATCAAATAAATCCACTTTATATTCCTTTCTTTTACTTTTAACAATCATAATTTTTAATTTTGATAATGTCCTAGAGTTGGTTTGCTTTTCATTTCTTTCAGAATTTTAACATATGTCTTTTGCAAATCCAATATTAGAAAGTAATTGAAGACATTCTTTTGGCTTGCTGGTTGCACATCCTTTTCAATTATTAAAACATCAGCCAATTTCATTTGTATATTCAGTGTAACATTTTGTCCATATCAACTTGCAGGCTGTCATTTTGAAATGAACTTTCAGATCAATCCCAGTTCTATTTAACAAAACTTGTTCCTCTTCTGCAATGTTTCTTAAAAGTCCCCTATCTATAATAATAGATACTTTTAAGATTAACTTGTAGATCCCTTAATCACAAAAATCCTTGAATATGTCCAGTATTAAAAATATTTTGTCCCATCCCATGTTAGTAAGCCAAAATTAAATGCTATTTTCCTTTAATTGTAATCTATAATTCCCTCTTATTCCCTGTAGTTCCAGTGTTCAAATTCCCATCCTATTGTACTTTCTTTCAGAATTTAAAACAAGACTGTCTCATAGGAAGGATTTCCACAATCAATATCAAAATCTTATTTCAAATACCCTAATCCATTTATAACTTTCCAAAATCAATTTCTAATCACTGTTTTGCTGCTTCATTTAAAAAAAGATTTTTTAAAATGTCCTTAAACAGCTCTGTGTCCCTAAATTTGTTGATTAGAACTCTGCCATTGCTAGGAGCTGCTGCTTGAAACTGACCAGAGCTTAATAGTTTTACTCTGAAAGCTTTTGTTGTCCTAAATGCCCACATTAGTCAGAAAAGGAAAATTCTGCTAAGGATAATTTGCTAAACGAGGACTATCTGTATAAGTGGTTTAGGGTTCTAGTTTCCCCTCTTGACATATAGCTTATTTTAATTTAGAACATCAAATCTTGAAATATCAGCCTTTTTTGGGGGGGGGGATTCCTGATTCCGATTAGGAGGTAATTTGGAGGCACTTTTATAGTGGCTTTGCTTATTTTTGGAGGAGCAGTTTTAGAAGCTGGTGCATAGTTGAAAACTGCTGTGAATTTTCTTCTGGTAGAATCCATGATTCTAAACTGATGACATATGCCCTTGTTAAACTATAGTATTCCTGATCATTTAAAAAGCAAACCAACTTGTGCTTTACAAGGTATGCTGCCCATAAAGGGTTGCATTCAAAACTCAGCTATCCTTCTGCATGCCCAAATTTTGACAGTAGGCTAGTATATTTGTATGGCTAAAATACCAGTACCAGGCTGCAATAATATATATATTTAACTATATCCTGGTTGGTATACTGTGACACACACTGTTGAATATTTGGGATTTCTTTTCACAATATGCTAGCTATGACATGCAAAGAAACCCTCTTGTGATGACTTGGAATCAGTGTATTAGAAATACGATAGATTCTTGAGAGGGAGGATGATTTCCAGCTCTCTTCTTTATTGTTGCAAGAAACGTTTCTCAAGTGAAATGCTTCTTTTTTTTCCAGATTCTTCAGGAGCGAGGATCACGGATGTAATCCAAGCATCTAACTTTAAAACTCCCAGATGTTAAAAGAGCAACTTAGCAGGGCAGAGCATTTCTCCTGCAGTCCAACCTTGCTTTTGTACAGTAATAAAACTAACACAAAGCAAAGCTGAGCCTGTCCTGCCAATGGAGAATTAAATCCTGGTAAAAACCAAAGGCTCATCCCACCCCAGTCACAGAAAGCTAAGAGAAAAGAAGAGAATCTTCCAGCTGGAGAGCGCCTTTGCTTTTTTTTTCCTTGCTGTCTTGGCATTGACACATGTTTGGGGGATATATATATATATTTATATTTATATCATCACAGGCCTGGATAAAGAGCAGACTTTTGGTTTCACACTGCTATTTCTAATGCTTCAGTTAGAAAAACTGTCCTAGTTAGAGTCATTCAGGTCCAGGGAAAATAGCTTTGAAAATGAATAATTAAATATTTTTTCTTCCATTTTCATTCACCGATCTTTTTTTAAAAAAATATGTTACTAGTTCAGAAAGTTGAGTCAGGGATGTGGTTTAGCCGAAGGTTTTTCTTCTGATAACACTACAAATCTAACTGTAGGCATTTCTTGCAGTACAGTTTGGTCAGCATTCTTCATGCTTTTAAGGTATCCAATTACCTGTGATATTTAGATTCTGTCGTATTGTTTCTTATTCTCTGTGAAAGGAGAGGAAAGAAGGAAGCTTATACCCCATTTCTCTCACCAAAGCAGAATGTGTCCTTTGGGTTATTTCAAACAGTTCATTGATATGGAAGATTTGTTCCTGCCAAGTTCAGCTTTGCCTTGTCTTGAATAAATAGCATGAAACTATTCCCCATGTTCTCTTGATGTCCTGCTTTAAAGCAGGTTTTCATTTGTACTCTGGTTATCAACTCTTACCTAATACATTCTGGAATAGAGAGTCTTTTATTTACACGTTATGATTCTGTGCTTTACATTTCTTATCCCTCCTTGTGTCCTCTCACCCAAAATGACTAAAGGCCATTGCACAGGTTGGGGAGGGTGGGTGGGGCAGGGAGGTGTAAAATGATGACAGTTGCCAAACTATTGTGATGTTTCTTGTCCAAAGTGATTCGTGAACTTCTGTATTTTTTTTCTGTTGGAATGCCTTGAATGGAAGTAACAATGTTGTGCCTCTCTGAATTCTAATCTTAGACAAGTGGGACTTGCTGATTTTGTCAATTAATTTGTGCCATCCCTAATCAGTGAAATGCCCCTTCTAGTTGTGGGTAAATGGAATTCCTGGCTTTGTTTCTTGTTAGTCAACTTTGGCTTCTTGGCCTTTGAATTAAGCTCTGAGCATAATGAGCCAAAGTATCAAAGAAACTGCAGTATTTTGGTTTTCCCCGGGCAATAATTGAAGCTCCCATGTTAGTCAGTAATCGGAGTAGGATCCTTTATATTCCGATTGGTTTGCTTGGAATTTGTCAGCAAAGAGTTGCACTCAGTATCTTTTTCATGTTTTATGGTGTGTGGTAATGAGGCTTCCCCTTTTATTTCTTTCCAGCAACAAAAGGAATGGTAACAAAGAGGATAGGGAATGGTTACCAAAAGCATGGAAGATATAATGCAGATGAAGCAAAAATATTTTAAAATGACATTTAACAGGGTATCAAATTATCCTGCTCCACATTCTCCATTAATCTTCAGTACTTGTGTACTTATATCACTGAGCTTCCCCACCATTTTGCCAACATACCTCCAGTGATGTTTTGATGGGTTAGAGCTTGAATAATGTGCTTTATTCAGTCCCTGTAGCAACAGACTGTACCAAAGGTCTTGAGGTCAGCTTCTGGCTGCTAAACTCAACCAGTTTCATACTCTGTGGAACTCAAACAACTTTCTTGTCCTTCTTCATCCTTCCTGTTTGTAACGTATTGGTATTGGCATGGTCAGACAGTGTATGTCATGGCTGGATTTAACTAACACTGTGATGTGTACATAAATCTATGAGTATCTTCAGCCGTTATCAGTGTATGTCCACAGCTGAGAAATAACCAGGTGTGTTTGTGTGTGTGTTGTGAGGAAGTATAAGAACCACAGGTGTATTCTCATAATCTCTTCTTCCAAGGAAGGGAGATTATCGGGGGCATGAACTAGTTGAAAGAAAAAAAAATCAAAGAATGCTGCCAAGAATAGCTGCCATTTCCAACTTGGCCTAACCCAACTCATTCCCCACCTTGCTGGGCACGTAGCAGTGTTAGGTTTGCTTGGAAGCAGATCTTAACTGTGTAGCTTTAGTAAACTAAAACAAATACCTCATTGATTTATGTTATGATCACCAGAAACACCATGCATGGGGAAGCCACATTAGAAGAGTGCCTGATGTCAAATTAATGAACTGGTAAAAGTAATTTTATTTTGTTGTACATATAGGTGCCATTAAAAACAGCTCCATTTAAATCTGGAATAAAATCAGATTTGAGATGAGGCTGCTCTGTTACAGCAAGATTTGAGCTAAATGTAGAAAAAACAGTGTTTCTGCTGAATAAATAGGTCCACCCTCTTGTTCACTTGCTGCTGACAGGTTGTGAGAGGTTTCCAGCAATTTTAGTTTTTTTGTTGGAACATGAGTACCTTCTCTTTTCCTTCCCTTGTTAAATATTTCTGGTTATGGTTTGTGGGACCCACCCTGAAATGATGAGCAGTTTAGTTGGAGACAGAAACAGTATTAAAGATTGGGAAAGCTCTTGGCTTTCTTAATATAAGGGCTTGAATTCCAGCTACAGCAAGACACTATTCTAGCTCACCCACCTGGGATGTTCTTTTCTCAAGATGAGAAGCCACCCCTAAATTCACGAACCGACTTTCACGTTTTCCACCAGTTGTAACTTTGCCTTCTTAGCAACAGGGCTCTTCCTTGCCTTTGCCTTTATGTGGTTGAGACTAAACTAAAGTTGGAGCATGAATACAGATACTATTTCCCGATGAAAGGCAGTAAATGGCAAAGGTAGCCAGTGGTAGAATGGCTTTTCATCTGAGTGATGTGCATCTCTTGAGGTTTTCTTTAAACCATTAGCTAGCCCCTGGGGACCAGTACCTGGTAGAGAAACCCAGCGGCCCAATTGTTCCGTTAGAGCAAGGTTGGAGCTAACCTTCTCTTAAAAGTGTCTTTGTTTCTGCACATTTTTAATCAATTTTTCTCAGGGGTGACTGAATGGTCCGAGGGGGAGGGGGTTATCCACAAAGGGGTGGGGGTGGCTCCTCGGACCTTCACAACTTGGCCGTGGGCTCCTCACCCTCAGGTTTTGCTTGCAAGCCTAGAGGTTTTGTACAGTTTGTCACATGTCGGTGCCCTTTGCTACTGTTTCTCTTGGTTTATTAAATGTGTTTGAATAATAATGGAGATGCTGTGATTTCTTTTTCCAATAAAGATTCTGACATGACTTGTGCTTGGGAGTTTTTTTTCCTGATTTTATTTTGATCTTGGCTGCTTTGCTGGTACTAAAGATCGAGCGTCTTTTTCACAGTTCTTTAGATGCACTCATGTTCTGCATTTGTTTTTAATTAAAAATTCTTGCCATCAAAGTAAAGGCGGGTGAAGACTTAACAGCTTCCTTTCACTGAAAAGACATTATTTAATAGTAATCAAAACTGTAGGTTTCCCAAAAGTGTTGTTTGTAAGCGGGGTCTTAAATTTAAAAGCTTAAAAGTATGCGTCTGCATTTGGGGGTTTGTGTAGTTTTTAGAAAATATTTTTTATAAAGAGATTCTTCAGATACATTTGTCTGATGAATTTAATTTATTCCTTGGTAACATAATAAAAGCACTATTAGGTATTTTGTGGGATTAGGGATTCTGTTTCAGAACGGCCATCTGTGGTGGCAGAGATTCTGGTTCTACCAGCAATAGAGAAATATGTAATATGGCCAAGAAGACTGATACGCAGGGAAGCTACCCGAGATACAATAAAAATAACTTCTGAAGGCAGAATGATAAATCCATACAAAAAGGGCTTTTCCAATAGAAAATAAATGAATGAAACCATGGCTTATTTATCTCTTGTCTTTTTGAGACCAATGCAACAAGATGTTTGGGTCTTATGTGTGCTATATTAAAAATCATGTAGTAGTGTTTTTGGTTATCATGGATGCCTATAATCTTGAAAAGGCACAGCAGACAGGTCCTTAATATTTTTATTCAGATGAGCTTGCCAGTGACATCATAACCAAAGGGCTTTACTCCCTCCTCCTTTGTAGTTTGAACTATGATGTCACCTGGCACATTCAGACCCCCTGATTGGCTATAAACAGGTGGAAAGTCAAGTCAAGGAGTGGGACAAGACCTCAGCTGAAAACCTTTAATCCCTGGAGCTGTAGTAGAGCACCTCTTGCTAATTTACCAAGTGCAACTGACTTTTAACAGGTAAATGCAGATAATAGCACTCAGTGAAATCTACAGAATTATAGTATCACAACTTAATTATCTAGACACACCCATTGAATAGTCTTTTTTCCCCTATAATTTAATTGCCTTGAATGTTCTAGTGTCTGCTCATAACAATTCCTAAATGTTTGCTTAAGTAACTATTCTGAGCTTTTTCTTCTCACAAGGGTAGGTAGAAGCTAAGGCAGAAGCTTTGTTAGTTTTAAGAACAAAACATACTTTCCTACTGGGAAAGGCCATAGCAGTCAGGAGTGGGCTGCTGGGGGTTCGCAGGGGTTTGGGAGAGCCCCTAGCTGAGATTCTGTGCAGTTTGGAGAACCCCCAAATCCCTCCCCTCCCAGGCTGAGTCCCCACGCGGCCCGTTTTGGATGCAGGTAAGTGCAGCGCACATGTGGATGCTTGGGGAGGGCAAAAAACTGGCCTCCTGGAAGTTTGGGAAGGCTGGAAATGGGCCCATTTCCCGCTTCCAGAGAGCCTCCGGAGCCCAGGGAGGCCAAAAATGTCCCCCCCCCCCCACCGGCCGTGGTGCAGGAGGCTGACTAGGCCACGCCCACCATGGCCATGCCCACCCAGCAACTGAGCAGAGAATCCTTCGCTAACATTTTTGAAGCCCACCCTTGCCATAGCTCCATGGTAGCATACATGATTAGAAAACTGCATGCCATGCAGATTTATAAAACCATTCTGGCTTTGCATTCTTGAGCAAGCTTTTGCATTCAGTTGATGACAACAGAGGCAGTGGCAATATGTTCTGGAGTTGGGGAGTGTTACCATCAATCCCTTGCCACGGACAGATAGCTGTTGACTTTGGAGACCAAGCCCTATGTGAATGGCCTGCCCAGGCATCTAATGTTGGGTTCCAACGAAGCCTGGGGGTTCTTTCTCGGACTCTGCTACAGGATTTGACTGAGGCTTCAGTGTTGCTTGAAATGAGTAACTTTTGCTTGGATTGGATCGCACCTATGTAACCTCTGTACATGTGGATCCTAGAAGGCCCCTTGGCTTTCAGAGGAGTTCTGGGTGACACAGCAACCTAAAACGCCACTGGGAAAAATGAAGAGCAGAATCAATTCAACATAGGTAAGAGCTTTTCAGAGGTACCA